GTTCATAGGTCGAAACTCAGCCACTGAGCCACACCAGCTGGGCATATCTTTGCTTTTTTATTCTTCCAGATAAACTTTATTTTTTTACTTCCACTTAAAATATCCCTCCCTTGGCATCTTAAATATATATATTTATTGACTTTTAGAGAGAGAGGAAGGCAGATGATGAATATTTGGTGAACTGAAGGAAGATGGGAGGAAGACAAAGACGTGTCCTATTTGACAGTATAGAGCAGCGGTTCTCAACCTGTGGGTCGCGACCCCTTTGGCAGCCGAACGACCCTTTCACAGGGGTCGCCTAAGACCATCCTGCATATCAGATATTTACATTACGATTCATAACAGTAGCAACATTACAGTGATGAAGTAGCAACAAAAATAATTTTATGGTTGGGTCACAACATGAGGAACTGTATTTAAAGGACCAGAAGGTTGAGAACCACTGGTATAGAGGCATAGAGTGCAAGGTCAAGTCAGTCAACTGTAAGTGGTTGGGTATGTCTGGAAGACGGGGGGGCTGGAGAAAGTGGTGAGAAGGGACACAGGAAAGTGAAGCTAAGGAATTAATATTTTACTTTGAAGACATTGAAGGCTTCTAAGCAGTTTTCACAACATGCTTAGATTTGCAAACTTGAAAGATAAATATTTGGAGCAGTGATGACACTTAATAAATAACTCCCGCTTTCCCACCCAGGTCCTGGGCCAGTTGAAAAATAAAATAAAATAAATAAAGATCATCTGTTTTACTGATAAAATAGGCTACTCAGTGCCAAACCCCAGAATCGGGCCGACCTGACTCCCGTCACAGGCAGCAGTGGCGGGGCAGGTCTCTTCCTGCCAGGACAGGGCATGTGCTCCTGCAGTGCTCATCCCAAAAAGGAGGGAAAAGAGGGGGTGGCCAGGATGTGACCAACTTTCTTCTTTCAAGATCATAATCAGATAATTGAGTGGAGGATATCACTCCATGCCGAAGGAAAACAGTATTCCTAGAGTTTTTTTTTTCTCTTAATTCACTGAATTTAACCATTTAGTCTATGATCATCTAAGTGTGTGTCTGAGCCCTGGGGGAGAGGGCTTTCCCAAACCAACCACTGCTCCTTTGGGAATCCTGAGACCCCTGGTGCCCCGAAGGCTCAGCCTGGGGTTAAAAGAGTAAATTATTTACATTTAACGACTAAGTCGTTTTGTATCCAACACAGAGTTTAGTTCCTAGTCGATTTCTCACCCCAGATTATGTTCAGCTATGTTGTCTGATATTGTCTACCAAGAGGTTTTGCCTAGTAGAATGGGATGGTCCAACATACGTGTGGCTTTTTTTTTCATTCAGGAGGGATATCTCAGCTGTAGGCAAGGAATCTCAGTCCCATACCAGACACACAGCCCAGGGTTCCAGAGCTGGGAAGAGAAGATCCTGTACCTTTGGGCTGTACAAACCAGCGGGGATAGTGTCTGAGTGACACAGAGGCTGCTGGAGAGCCAGGCAGTCCCTCTTAAAGGGCCAGCACATGAACTTACACAATCCAGCTCCCTCTGAACTCCAGTGCTGGAGGAACCAGGGACATATGGGGAAAAACTGGATTGTCTGGCTTTGGGGCAGGAGCTCTGGGGGCGGCTCTCACCCAAATGGAGGTGCTCGCAGGTGTCTTGTTCCTGTGCTGAAACCTCCCTTGTCCCAGAGCTGACTGGCAGCCATATCTGAGTTTCCACCAGTGTGCCTCACACTGTTCGCTCCCCCCCTGGTGATTCCCTGAGACCTTACCCCATCCAACTTGCAGTCCTACCCAAGCTGCTTGCAGCAGCTTTTCCGTATGAATGGCCTGCCCTGGCTCAGGCTTCAGACTTTCCTAAAATGTCTTAAACAAACATCAGCTGGCATCAGCATGCCATATACCTATTAATAAGAGGCCTAAGACCCAGTGCTAGCTCCATCCTGCCTTGCTTCACAGCTTGGCCTTGCTGGCCATTTCTAAACCCAATACAAACAGCAGCCATCTGCAGATAGCTTGGCAGCTCCTGCCAGGTGGCCCTAGGCAGTGGCTGACTTTGCATCTCTCAGGAGGCCCCAAAGCCAGTGCACCAGGAAGACAGCTTCAGAACATACCAGATTATAACTCTGCACATCCACAAGCGACACACTCAAGGGGAAGACTCAGTGAGCACACAAGCCCCAATGAAGCAAGTCCTGCTCCATAGTGGTGTCTCCTGCACAGCTGCTCTTCCACTGTAGTTATAGCTGGTCCTCACAGCCAATTGGCCTGGGGGTCAACTCCTCCCAGTGGCATCAATAGCAGTCAAGGCTCAACTACAACAAGATGGTGCACACAGCCTACACAAGGGGGCACCTAGAGTGCTCAGTTCAGGTGACTGGGAAGGCTGAGCCACTGGGCCCTACTACATACACAAGGCCACTCTACTAATTCCAAGAGACATAACAGCTCTACAAAATATATGGAAACAAACACAGGGAAGCAGCAAAAATTTGGAGACAAAGAAACATGTCACAAATGAAAGAAGGGAAGAAATCTCCAGAAAGAGAAATAAATGAAATGGAAGCAAGCAAACTACTGGATACAGAGTTCAAAACAATGGTTATAAGGATGCTGAAGGAATTTAATGAGAGCTTTAAGGGACTTTGTGAGACTTTTAAGGATCTTAGAATTTCAAAGACATAAAAAAGGACCAGTCAGAAATGAAGTATACACTAACTGAGATATAGAATAATTTATAGGGATTCAACAGTACATTAGAGGATTCCAATAATCAAATCAACAATTTGGAATATGAGGAAGCAAAAAACACCCAATCTTAACAGCAAAAAGAAAAAATATTCCAAAAATATGAAAATAGTATAAGGAGCCTTTGGGACAACTTCAAGGGTACCAACATTAGCGTTAGGGGGGTGCCAGAAGAAGAAGAGAGAAAGCAAGATATTTGAAACCTCTTTGAAGAAATAATAACAGAAAACTTCCCCTACCTTATGAAAGCAATAGAGTTACAAATCCAGGAAGCACAGAGAGTCCCAAACAAGAGGAACCTAAAGAGACCTACACCAAGACACATTATAATTATAATGCCAGTGATTAAAGACAAGGATAGAATCTTAAAAGCAGCAAGAGAAAAGCAGCTAGTAACCTATAAGGGAGTACCCATACCGATGTCAGCTCATTTCTCAACAGAAACTTTGAAGGCCAGAAGCGAGTGGCAAGAAATATTCAAAGTGATGAATAGCAAGAACCTACAACCAAGATTACCCTACCCAGCAAAGCTATCATTAAAAATTGAAGGTCAGATAAAGAGCTTCACAGACAAGAAAAAGTTAAAGGAGTTCACCACCACCAAACCAGTATTACATGAAATGTTAAGGGGTATTCTTTAAGAAAAGAAAGAAAAAGAAAAAGAAAAAGAAGAAAAGATTTTAAAAAATGGACAATAAAATGGCAATAAATACATATCAACAATTTAATCTAAAAATCAAAATAAATGAACAAGGAATCTAATGAACACAAACTGGTAAGTAAAATAAAACCAGTCATGGAAACATGGAACAGACTGACAAATCTCAGAGGGGAGTGGGGGAGAGGCATGGGGAGAGATTAACCAAAGATCTTATATGCATACTGGAAGCCCTTGGCCTGGCCTGCGCCCTCTTGCAATCCAGGACCCTTTGGGGGATGTTGGACTGCTGGTTTCAGCCCGATCCCCATAGGCCAGGCTAAGGGGGCCCACCAGTGCATGAATCCATCTGCCCCCTGATGGTCAGTGCGCATTACAGCTACTCGCAGAACAAACAGTTGAACGGTCAGACACTTAACATATTAGGCATATATATATATATATACTAGAGGCCCGGTGCACAAAAATTTGTGCACTCGGGGGTAAGGGGGTCCCTCAGCCCGGCCTGTGCCCTCTCGCAGTCTGGGATCCCTCGGGAGATAACGACCTGCTGGCTTAGGCCTGCTCCTGGGTGGCAGAGGGCAGGCCCAATCCCTAGGTGCAGCCCCTGGTCAGGCTCAGAGTGGGGCCGATTGGGGAGTTGGGGTGCCGCCCCCTGTCATGCACAGAGCAGGGAAGATTGGGAGGTTGTGGCGCCACACCCTGTCATGTACA